ACGCGGAATTGCGCGAGAAAATTCGATCTAACGAATTTTTTTTTTTTGATGCATTATTTATGATCGCCAGTGTAGTACAGTGTTAAAACGCTAAATTAAGGTGCATTAGCAGTGGTCTTTGGTGCATTAGCAGTTGTTTGTGGTACATTACTGGTGGTCTTTGGTGCATTACCAGTAGTCTTTGTGCATTACCAGTAGTCTTTGGTGCATTACCAGTAGTCTTTGGTGCTCCTCCAGTGGTCTGTGGTACATTTCCGGTATTTTTTTTGTACATTTCCGGTGGTCTTTGGAGCATTACCATGGTCTTTGGAGCATTGCCAGTGGTCTGTGGTCCATTTCCGATGGTCTTTGGTGCATTACCAGTGGTCTTTGGAACATTTCCAGTGGGTTGTGGTCCATTTCCAGTGGTCTGTGGTCCATTTCCGGTGGTCTTTGGAGCATTTCCGTTGTCTTTGGAGCATTAACAGTGGTCTTTGGAGCATTAACAGTGGTTTATGGTACATTTCCGGTGGTTTTTGGTGCATTACCAGTGGTCTTTGGTTCATTTCCAATAGTCTTTTGAGCATTTCCAGCGGTCTGTGGTCCATTTCCGGTGGTCTTTGGAGCATTACCGGTGGTCTTTGGTGGATCAGTAGTGGCAAAACGATTCCCGGTCCCATGATTTCCGAGTAAAAAATATCCAATAAAAACTCAGAATATCAAACATAAAATTAAGTTATAACTTTCACTGCGAACTCTCCGATATTTCATAATCTACAGAACTCTAAAATTGCTCGGAAGTCAAGGGACCGAGGATCGTTTTTTGCCACCACTGATCCACCTGCTAAATTAGCTAAGTCACTTGCTAAATCACCAAATTACTAAACGCTAAATCACGAAACGTGTATACCGTAGAAATGACTTTCCGAATTACCATAATGATCATTCACAACTTTCAGTAAAAGTGTAACATACTTGTACGCAGGCATCCTTTTAATGTGTGCCAGGTTGGTAGCACATTAATCAGCAAAGTAATTTGAGCGACTAAAAAATTCAAATACAAATTACAAAGTCTTAATTTTAATAAAACGAACCCCAATTTTTCAAAGAAATCTAGAAGTTATTTCTACTCGTTTCGTGTTCTTTAATTTTCGAAAAGTATGTTTCTTCATATCAAAGAACTATTAATATTCTTTTTTTTATGTTTTCATAATTTTTTACAGTTCATAATGACAATACTGTATCTCATCAAATTTTCAAGTGTCGTTTATTATGTAATTTTTTAGGGGAAGAGTGAGAGTCAGCGGTTATCACGTCTATAGGCTGCTGATTTTATCACTAAGTGAGGGTTTGGTTTTCTAATAATGAGAAATTACGTAATAAACGGCACATCCCTAATGGATACGTGAAATAAAGTCTTTGGAGGAAATATTGTACAGTTCATAGAAGGTTATTTAACCTAACCATTAAAATGATTTCACTTTAAAAACTAAATTTTATAAGCTTCGTTACTGTAACTACACGTACTTCCGAAATTACCGTAATAAGGCCACACGAAGTTTTTTTTTTCAAGTTCTTAATTGTGCCAATTATTCTATTTTTGCCATTCCAATTTTCCCGTGAAACAACCCGGAATCGCTCGATATAAGCCTTAATTTCCGGTGTTATCCGATAGGACCGATAGAAGAGAAAAAGAAAAAAATCCTCCCGCCTACCGGAATTTTGAAATCCATGTAATGCAAACGAAAAATCAACTTAGTGTTTGACATACTCTATTTACATACAAAATAATTAATGTTTCTGTTATAGTATATTGCAATTTACAAATTAAAAGAGAGTTGAAAACCTACAATGTACAGAACGATTGGTGAAATCAAAGTAGGAAGTTTTTGTTTAAAAAAGATTTCTTACATACAATAAATAGCAGAGATTTACAGTAACATCCGATTCGGTTAGATCATTGTAGCGTTCAAGAAATGCTACGACGAACAGTTCAAAAAGGCCCGAACATCCAAGCTAGGGATCAGTAGGCCTAGCTAAGTTGTTAGGTGAAACTTACTCTAAATGGCGAAAGACGAAACCTAAGCCAAAAAAGTCACAAGTGAAATGTCTTTGAGAAACTTCGAAACCTTGGCGAAACTCTATATCACAAAATGTATCGGTTCCGTGATCTACAAACCATTTGGGCTTAAATTAGAATTATCATATACAAATAGCGAACTTTTTATTTGGTTTATAGATCACGAGGCCGATACTTTTTGTGAAATGGTGAAAGATGAAGCCACTGATACGTAGATGCACAAGACTAGTTTTCAACTAAAAAAAAGTCATGTTTACTGGGTTTTAAAATGTGGCATTAACGTATTTTATTATAAAATTTTTGTTTCTTACCTATCGTTCTAATTGTTTATTATTAATATACGATGCCAAGTGAAATATTCAGTTTTCTGTCACTTTAGAAATCTGACGTTTTGATAAATACTTGAAATATACAATGATAAATTCAAAATAACTATATAAAAAGAAAATAAAAATATTAATACCGGAAAATAAGCATCATTTTTTTAATTAACTAGCATATGTGGCTGCTTCGCCGACTGGTTTTGACTGAATACTATCAATGGTGTTTGTAATCGATTTAATTTATTGACTAAGCTGATACTTAAAAACGGCTTAGCTGACTATATCAAGTCGACTGCTTGTAGCGTAATAAAATCGGATTATTGATTTTTTCAGTGCCTTTCGTTGTTTGATATTCTAGTTGTCCGAAATCATTGATTTTTTAAAAAATCTGCTAACTTAGTGACTAATCAATTCTATCATCTAACATCAAATTGACTACAATCATTAACTGCAATAGTTATGATTTAATAATGCTTAATTAATTAAGACTAATTTTTGAATAGGACTATAAAGTGCAGAAGTTTGTAGCTCTTGGATTTTCATCAACGCTCTTACTTTTATTTGACATCCTTTTAAACCTTATATTATATATATTTCAAAGTAGTGTTTCTACTATTCTTTTCACTTGATCTCGTTTCAAGTTTAGCTTTATACTTTTATGTTCGGCTTCATTTCGCTCGGCCAGGTTTAAACTCTGCATCAAGTTTTAATTAAGATTGACATTCACGTGGATACAATTTACAATCTAGGTCATATATTTAGTCTTTTAATTAAAATTTATCGAAAAGCATTACACGTAGGGATGTAAAATTACAGTAATTTTACGTAACTTTGTGTAATTTTGCGTAAGATTCGGTAAATTGAAATTTCATGTAATTGTAATTTTGAACACATGACATTTAGTTTCTGAGCTCAAACTTTCGGTGATTCAGGAGTTACAATTTGGATCGTACATTAAAATCAAATGATACAATAATACTGGCCGAACTTTTGTAAATCTGGTACTTTATGTATAACGTAATGAAAATTACATGAAATCTAATTTTCTGAAACTTACGTAAAATTACATGTATTGTAAATTGTAATTTATGTAACAACATCCCTAATTACACGCATGCATTCATATTGGAATGATCCGGTCTGATATACCAGAGTCGATGATTATATTAGTTGAGAATTATGAGTTATTGAAACTGAAACGGGATATACTCCCAAAAATAGCACACCGTAAGCAGTTGAGTTTATGCGCCTTAGTGCTGGCCGATGGTTTCCCGCCTACGTAACACAGGCCGGCCGTTAACATGAAGATATGATGATATTCAGCAGTAATTATGAAAATGGCAGGTTCCATTAGTTATGATTTATGTGTTATTAAAGCTGAAATGGATATGCTCCGGGAAATAGCAAATAATTTTGCGCCGGGAGATCATGAGTTTGTGCAGCTTAGCGCTGACCGGTGGTTTATAACCTGCATAATGCAGGCCGGCCGTCAGTATGAACATGTGTATTGATATTATTATGAAAATGACCAATTTCCATTTGGGAGGTCGCGAATTGTGGTCTGTTGTGGCTGAGTAAGCAGCTGTTGGTGTAGGTATTTCTTTTCCTTCTCATTGTCGCATTTATCAAGTTAGTGATTACTGCTTGTGGAAAGTCATTCAGATCATACTCACCTCCTTTGATTATCTGGAATTGGACTTATTCCGGTCGATGATTTCACGAGACGCACCAACATGCTTAGCATCTTTTCGATCTGTTGGCCCTACGTCAACTCTTAACGTTGATAAATAATTTTCGTGTAACATATGATTTGTTCGCTCAATCGTTGATCGCGTTACCTGGACATTACTTTTTTGCCATGCTACCCTATTAGTATGATTTTACCATGAAGTCGTTATATCCAGATGTCGGTATACCCAGAGTGATGTGTATCTTAGCTTTAATAATTCTATCCTAAATTTGCGACTTGAGAACCTCTAAAAAGATAGATCTTTTTTTATTTCCTAATTTTAAACTAATCGTGAATACACAGCTAATCTAGAACCAGACAGAATCAAGGTATTTGTAGCAAGATTATTAACTGAATATTTTAAGTACATCGGAAATAGCATTTTATTATAATGAAATATTCTAATTAACAAGATAAAAGACATATGCTTTAACCATTTAATTAAAAAAAAAAGTAAATTAACTATAAAATTATTTATAAGAGTATTGACATGAAGAAGAAATTTATTTGTATCCAATAAGCTCACGCCCCTTTCCAAAGATAACACAAACTGTAGTAAAAAATAATTTTTGGAAAACTAATAAACTTGGCACTAAATATGGTATGAAAACGCCGGCTAATTCCTCTGGATGACACAAAATCTCTTGCCTTTTTATAATATATTTTCCATCAGAGCGGTAGGTTAAATCTAATCTTACCATAACTCTAAGAAGAAAAAAGTTGTTTTTTTTTTTATGAGAAACAATTGTAGATATTTGTTAGATACTTGTGTTTCTTTGCATTACTTACCTTATTGGCTGTTCAATCCAGAAGAAAAGGCCACGACGAGCATACTGTGTTGCGTCAATCACAACCTTATTGTGTTTTTCGTTAAAAAATAATTCATGAATAGTAGTTCTATCAGAATGTATAAATCCTGAAAAATGTACAAATAATTATGCGTTAATAAAATATCACATCATGATTAATACAATAAAGTATTATATATATAATCACCTTTATAACATCGATTTAGTGAGATAAAACTTTCTCGAGAACTCGGACCACTGGGAATATATGTCAAAAAATTTTTAGCTTCAAGGTTAACGCAATAATATTCTGAAACTTCTTGTGGATTATAGCCCTTATTTTTTGAGCCAAGAATAAGATCTATAATTTTTGGAATATCTTGAACCGGGTCGTCCATGGTTTTGTGTTTGTTTTCTATTAGAATAACCAAGATTCAAGTGAATGTCTTATATATATATTTTATTATCCAGAACGTGAGAGGTTTTTAGATTCACAATCTTGATTTTTTTTCACATGCATATCTTGTTTGTACCCTTAACGCTAAACTGAAGTCATTATATGAATAACTATATTGATCTATTTTGCAGTAAATGGAATTAGATGACGTAAAAATAGGCAAGCTGATTTCACAAATCATTGTAGTGGAATTGTCCCCAGTGATTGTCGTAAACTTGCCGTAACTTGCCGTAACTATAGTAAGTAATGTAGAATTACGACTATAATGCCGAACTTACTATATTACTTACTATAGCCACGGCAAGTTACGGCAAGTTACGACAATCACTGGGACGATTCTAAAATTGTACTGAATTGAAATTATATTATTTTTAATGAATTGAAACGCCCAAACTTTATTTAAAGTTGGATCTACTTGATATTAGATACAATTGATTATCGTACAGATAAAGTTAATGCAATGCAGACTAAAATGGTGTGATGATTTAATGTGGCTTCATGTTGTCCGCCATGTAAACATTTTCGAATTATATTCTAGAATTTTCACTTTTCGCACATTG